TTGAAGGCTGGAGTCCCTGTGACGACGACGACGAGATTGTCTACTCCCTGCTTGTGCCCCTGAAGCCTCCCCGGGAGCACGTCTTCCACCTGGAGTTGAGCACTAGGGGGGAGATGCCAGCCAAGGACTCCCGCGTTCGTGTGGAGCTGGTGTGCAGCTGCGCGACAGGTTCACTGGGGGAGGACACACTGTGTTTCCTCCACAACCCCAAAAAGAAGCTGAGGACCAATGAGGCTGCCAGCTTCCTAGGCACCCTCTGCACCGGCTCCCACCTAGCCGACCACGGAACTGGCCACTGGTTCGTTAGCTTGGCTCCTCCTGCCTCAGGCACAGTGCTTCGATATGAAGGTGCTGCCCTCCAGCCGTTCTTGCAAGCTGCAGCTGACAAATGCCTGCAAGGGGACCCTCGTGGCTGAGCTGTTTTTTGGGGTGCAGCAAGGTGACTCAGACATCTTCCTGAGCAGCCAGACTCCAGAGGCTGCCTTAACCCTGAGCACAACATGGCCCCAGAGCTACGCTGTGGCGGAGGCAAAGGTCTTCAGGCATGTGAACAGACCAGGCAGGCCCCACACGGCAGATTCCCCCTCAGATGCCTGCACCTCTGCACCCGCATCCTGGTGGGCACGGGCTTCTCCACCTCTGCCCTGAAGACAATTGTGATGCACCTGCTGATCACCACACCCCTGTCAGGCTGGTGCGGCAAAGACTTCCTGCTGCGGCTGGACGACATCATGTGCTACCTGCGCCGCTGTCTGGAGACCAAATGCCTCAACCACTTCTTCTTTGGCAACAAGAACATGCCTGAGGAGATCGTCTTGCCCCCAGCCCTCCAAACAGCTGAGCCAGTCAACCTCTTCCAGCACCTGGCACATGATCCGGCCGCACATGGCCAGGCACTGCGTGAGTTCACTGAGCTGCAAGATCAGCTTGAAAGACTGCTCTTCTATGGCATCTAAAAGAGGTCTTTGTGTCCAGAGCTGTGTTTGCAGAGGTCACAGCTAATGGCACACCACTGCCTTTATACGGGAGGGAAAAGGAGGGAGGAGAATTGTGAGGGACAGCAGCTGGACTGCTGGTAACCTGGCATTGGTTGAAGACATTGACCTTGACAAATTCCCAGTGCACCCTTAAGATGGAAAGTTGTGTGTACTGAGTTTGGACACGTTTGCGGAACTTTCTCCCTCGAGATCTGGGGGGATGAGCCCAGCCAGAAGCTGCTAATTGTTAGCCAATTAGAATGTGAAAAACAAGTGTCTGACCTATAAGCAAAGGCCACGCTACCTTCTTCTAGTACCCTTGAATATGTATAGAAGGCACACCCTTTCTGTAATACAGTATCCATTTTTGAGCCATTTTAATACCATTCAATTGTGTCGTGTCTGACTCTACAATGACATTTGGTGACTCCGACGTGTCGGCGTGCTGACGTGTCGACGTGTTGACATAATAAGAAAAACGATGTGATAACAGAAAAACACCGCAAAAACGGTGTTTTGGGCTGCAGATTGGCGCGCAGCGGAGACGGAGCCCGGCGTAGCAGAGAGCAGAAAGAATCTGCCTTGTTCCGGACGTGAGATTTAAGACACCTAAAAAGGTGAGCCGCCGGGGACGGGATTTAAGAAATATGGGTCAGCATATTTCTAAAGAGGAGGACTCTATTTTGTGCCTCTGGAAAGCTCTTCTTGCTAAAAGAGGAGTCAAGTATAATGATTTTGCATTACGGCGTATGTTATTGTGGAGTAAAAAGCAGGGATTTGAGATGTCTCCGTCAGTCGCTTTCAGTGTTTCTGCTTGGCAAGAGGTGGGGCAGAAGTTATGGGA